TATTTTCGCTATCGTCCCACCTTTGGAATTAATATTTCCTATTAAAATTAAAAGATAAGCTTCCTGTCCCCTTTTTATTTAATTAATCGGTAATCGTACCGTGGCTTCGGCGTACTCGGTGAAATATACACATTGAATACGTCGACCGTATATTCCCAGCGCCGCGACGCGTACGGAGATGTCCCCGTCTCATTAGTTTCAAGCAGAGAGAAGTCAGCCGTGACGAGCATCTTCAACAATGACGAATTTTCACGCGGAAGGACGGAGGAGGAATACGGCCGAGAATGAGCGAACGAGGAAAGGAAAACTAGAGAAACCACGGTGCGAGATCGTGAGGGGGTTGCTTAGGCGGGAAGGGTGAGAACTCGCACGTATTCAGACGAAGTCTTTCTAGAGATCCTGACACCGCCGTACAGGGTGATTCTCGAAACTGGGACATGCTCGTTTACCAACCGCGGATACGAACAATTTACGCAGGACACGGGATCCTGCTATTTTTTGTTTCTGCACTTCCACTACCGTTCTCTTTTGCGTAAATTGATTTCTCTCGTTACTAGACTGCTGTTCATGCATTTATGACAAATGTGGAGAAGCTATGAAAAGGTATGTATATGTGATGTATATTTTATATATATATATATATATATATATATATATATATATATATATATATTGTCATTTTATATTAGGGAGACCGAAAAGTAATCAAAATTTTATCACCATTTATTTATTAACACGTTCACTGCCAGACTAATACTCTTGAAAATTTCTACTGCGATTTAATTTTGTTTACAGACTCTTGGAAACTTCGTAATGAAACACTTATTTTTGTATTTAGTTCTGTAACTTCATCAAAATTCAAGTATTTTATTTAAATTCATTTTCTATGACACTTAACTTTCAGAATTAATAGTTTTCGTTTTTCAGTGAAAAGCACTGTCACTCATATATGGGTGACGTGGCGATCAACGTGTTGAATAAATCTTAACACTTTACCGACCGGTAGCGGTTCAAGATCCTATGCCCTTCTCACCGACCGCTCGGCAGCAGATCTTCCTGGCACCGGGCATTGCATAAAAATACGAGAACTTCCAGAGCAGAGCAACTTTTATCTCAATTCAAAGTAACAAATACTTGCTAGTTACCATAGCAGTTACCAGCCGGTGAGCGTTGGGGACAAAAAGTCGATTAATCGGCTACCGGTCGGTAAAGTGTTAAATACTAATCAAGAAAATAATTTCCATCACTTTTCCAACACTTTTTGCCAGTGTACAGTTGTTCGATTCCTTTTTTGAAAAAGTCCTTCGATTCTTCATTGAAAATCTTTTCCAAGTCGAAGACATTCTGATTACTTTTCTGTCTCACTAATATATAAACCACACATTCGTTCAAGCTCCAATTCCTTCTCCGTATCACTGAAAATATGAATTGGTATAAACACCCGCAGTCCACTCGTAATGCATATCAAGTGTGACCATTGAAGGCTGCCATAATGTCTCACGTTTGCGTTCTGCAAATTAAAGCTGTATTCGCCGTGGCAGATTACGTGGCATTGATAACCCTGATTCCTGCGCCAAGTAAAAGATTTGTAAGCGCATTCCATTCGGTTCGCGATAAGTTTACGGCTTGAGTGCTCCCGCTGCTCAAATACTCGTTAAACGTGGTAGATTGAATCAGTTTGAAACAGGGTCGTAATAGGTTTCAATAACGATGAGAAAATGGAGTATACCTACCGTGGAATTTAAAAATGTAACAATGCGTACAGAAAAAAAGAGAAAAAAAAAATTGGGTTTCGACTGCAGCGGTGGAATATTTGAGTAGCTACAGAAATTGAATAATTTCCTCCCATAAAAAAATGCATATCTTTTAATGGCCACGCGATAATTTTATACGCTGAATGACGACAAGTCGTTTATGAAAAAGTGATGCACGTTGCATTTTTAAATTAAAAAAAAAAAAAAACGCCGGCGAATATTGCACACTCATCGGTTCACCGTTGAAAAAATGGCGATCGTTCGTACGCGTTTATTTATGCACCGTGTGGACCGTTTCGCGAGATATCGTCAACGAAGAAATCTTATTAACATCGAGAAATTGTAATATCTGAATTACGCTGACTCGTTTTGCACGAAAATGACGGCTATTTGATGGCACTTTGTATACCCAGCGACTTTAGACTCGAGAGGTCGCGAAACGTCGCGCATAAACCGCGCCAAAATACACGAGTTACGAGGAGGAGGAGGAGGAGGAGGAGGAGGAGGGAAGGAGGGGCGGGGGGTAGAAGAGAGAAAGAGAGAGATGCAATTAAAATATCCGCGCAAATGGAAACACGCCTAGCACGGCTCGAACACGACAGTTTAATTATACCAGAAATTTAATGTGATTTATTTGACGGAAATTTCAACGGTAACTTTCCCAAGCGCGCCGGTTGTACGCGATCAGATGTTTTCCATTCGCGTCACGTTCACGTCGATATTTTTCCGTTCGGGAGATGCGGCATCGGGTAGGCGTATTTCGAACGATGCGTTCTAAAAATTATTACTCGACCCGGAACCATCGATTCGCCGCGAACGATGCTCTCGTCGGAGGAATGTGGATAATAAACTTTTTAAAAGGAAATTTCAGGCATCGAAATTCGATTGGAAAAAGAAACAACCTTGCAGATTTTCGAACCGGAACGCAAAGATGGAGGTCGACTCCAAAGGGATACAAGAGGCGAGGTTTCCAATTTTCCAACGTCCGACTGCGCGTCCCGTTGAATATTTATGAAGAAAGTTATCGCTGTACCGATTTCCCTCGATGGCCACGAAGCAAGAAGGGTAGAAATTAGTTCGGAAAAGGTTGACGGGCTTGCGGTTACGCTGAAAGCTTCTCCGATAAATAGACCGTCCGCGAATTACACGGAACTCATTTTACGGATAATGCCCGAAACGTTATGCTGGCGCATACGAAATGCTGCTTACCTAAAGCCTCCGCCAACAATCCACCCGGTAAAAATTACGGCGTCGGGTCGAAAAACGTCGCGAATGTATAGGATTTGTTCGTTATCCATTGTTCAGATCGAAATAAGTCGAGGAATCTTTTTGTCAAATTAAACGCCAGAGTGACGAATGAAGTAATTACCGAATTCACGTGGAGAGTTTAAAAAGAATCGCGTGCCTGTGAATTTCGCAACGAAGTAAAACAGAAGGAAAATCTGATTAGCCAGGAGCTTCAGCTTCGAAAGGATCCTCATCTGGGTCTTGGAGACACAGTACAGCTAATTTCCATCGAAAAAATAGCCAATAGAGGGGAAAAACGGGTCGAGTCGCTCTTTTACATTCGCGGCTTTATTTTTACGTTGACCTTTATACGGGGAGGATCTCCACGGTGGCTTTTAATCCGCGAGCAACTAAGCTACCTTCTAGCGACTGCTTTATCTCTGGTGTCCTCTCGAAGGCGCATCGATTATTTAACTTCGATATCGTAAATGGGATCCATCGATTACCGCATCGGCTCCGGCTATCCTCTTCCGAGTATAATGGCCGCTCGAAGACGCGCGGTCCCTCCGTCCAATAACTTACATACTTCGCGCATATCTTATGAGTCTATGAAAAGAGTTCGAATAATACCGTTCGCTTCGGTCTTCTTTCCACCGCGATTATTCGAGACGCGTAACCGCGGCTCGCGTTACAGTCACGCGTCTTCCCCATCGCCTCCTTTCTTTGCGTAACTCGCGCCGAGGAGTTTCCATCGCCGTCCTAACTTATCCCGCGTAAAAAGGGGACGATTTTTCCTAGAGATCGTTGAATAAGAGATACGCAAACTTTTCACTCGAACGGCAAACCTCGAATGTGTAAATAAAGAACCGAGAGTAGGTTTTCCTGTAATTTTACCTATTTCGCGAGTTCTCAGGAAGCTATAAAAATATTAAAAATCAATTTCCGGCAGGTTTTTGCTTTTGGTCAAAGGACCATCGACTTGGTACAACGTACAAAAAGAGTGGATCGATATTAAAAAAAATTGAGGATATTAAAAATTCGCTTGATCCAACGAAGCTTCCGATCTGTTATTTGCAGAATACAAATTACAGTGTGAATTACGTATACCGATATAGGTAATCGTATTACGTTTCACGTTGAACCAATAACATTTCAATTCGAATAACTGTTTAATTGAATAAACGATGTCGCGACTCGGTCACGTAGTGCCGGCTGATAATAATAACGTTGCCGATAACAATATCCTCCGAAGGCGTGTTTATTCACGAAACTCGCGTTTAAAAACCGGGAAAACTGGAAAGGAGAGAAAAAGGAGATCTTGGGTTGATAGTTAAACCGTTGAAACCGTACCGCGGAAAAGTTCCACGCACGGCGGTTAAACATCCCCTGGCTTTAATTATCTCCGCTAAACAATTATGCCGCGACAATAAGCACCGGCATGCGCTGGAATTTTTGCGCGAGATATTAAAATTCCCGCGATGCTTTAAAACGCGTCCATTGAAATTTATAAAAGCCTTGGACTCGTTGATTTAATCGTGTCGCGTGACCAGCGAAAGCTCGCTTCGAGATAACGACCAATTACAAAATTTCGTACCCTTTCGCCCCCGCCCGCGAGCAAAAATATGTAACGCGATTACATTCGCAGGTGTTTTGATTTTTACCCTTAACCCTCCGCAGTGCGTGTTTTCTGATTTCTTGAATACTTGCGTGAGCTGTATCTGCTTCGTATATTAGGATGCATGGAATAGCGAGTTTAGTAATAACACCTTGTGTCGTTAAGTAGTTGTTTTCACCGCGACAATTAGGCGTGGTATCCTCGAACAAAAGTATGTAATTTTGGAGTCCGATAAGGCCACTATTGCAGTTCGTAAAACGTAAGCACTCGTTATAGTAATTTCAAGTACTTACGTAGAGTCTAAGTGATTCTCTTATTTGTATAACAAATTTCAAGTTTCGTTTAATATACGTTTCGATTCAAAGGAAAGCGAATGGTAACGAGGAAAATATTTGTTTACTAACCTGCTGCGAGTCGCGCGATCTCGGTACTAGTGGAGATGAGTGGATGCAGCGTAACAACTTTGAGCACATCCTAGTTCTGCAACAGAAATAAATAATTATTTGTGTGGAGAAGTTACGAGTCGAATAGTACGAATCTAAACTAATTATAGATAAAAATAAGCATCATTGAAGCGTTAGTTAATAATTTCCCTCTTCAGAAGATGGTTAAGTCAGAAAAAGAAAAAATAAGTATAATTCTTTCCATCCCTAGAGTTTCTTGTACCAGAGGTCACTGATAATCTAATTCTTTCAATGCTTCAGAAGCGATGAAGTTACCAACCAGTATCTGCTCGCCGTAAATTCCAACTTCTCCTCGTCGTTAAACGAAATTGCGAGAAATTCAGGTCGATTAATTAACCGTTTCGAGGATCGACCGCTCACGTTCGAGAAGAATTAATTTGTGTTTATCGCGACGCGTCCGCTGGGTGCCGCGGGGGTGTTTGCTCAGCGAAGGAATCGTTTGTCGAATCCGTTTCAGGTGGTTCGCGGAATAATTTCAAATCTGTCGGGATCAAAGCGAAACGAATTTTACGGAACAGTTGCGGCGCGAGTTTAGGAAGGAAACGGCGAAACGGGATTGTTTAAACGCGAGAGACGAGATAACGAACGTTTATGGCGCCCATTCGCCATACCTTCGTCGAGTTTCGCTTGCTGGAATCGTTACGATTATTATCTCGAGTTAACTTTATTTCAAACCGAGAGCGAACCGGGGGAATCTCCGCTGCGTCGAAATCGTTTTCTCGTTTCGAGCCGCTTTAAATTACCGTCGAATCGCATTCAATTTTTCTAATCCCTCCGCGAGTCGTCGCCGTAAACTTTCGTCGGTCTATTAGCGATCTCTATCTTTTCCCCAGAATCGTTCCCGGAACCAATTTCTGATCGCGGGATGTCCGATGAGACAATAATCGGAGAATTCTACGTTAGTCTTTTCGTCGAAATGATGAATATGTAGTTTAACTTCTTCTTTTGGTTATTAAGAACTGAATAATTAACAGTCTAGCGCCCTATCAGTCGCGTTTCTATTAGACTGCTAATAACCTCGCCAAAAGTATGAATTTCAAAATATCTACAAATTTTTGCATTCATTTCCAACGAACTTATACTCTGCACGGAGTTCCAAAAGCAACTTCCGTCGTGTCCACTTCACGAACTTTTGAAATGCATAATTTACCAAATTTGTTCAACCTTTCCCGTTTCTTTTTTTTTTTTTCTCGGTATGAATGCGCAAAATGCACGAGTTCCAAATTTTGTTGGTCACTTTCATGCATCCATTAGAAACTACCTTTAAACCATCGTCGAAGCGAGGCTGTTTTTTTAAATTTCGGTTCTCGCGTGCCTGGAACTCCCGCAGCCAGTTTAAATTAACGCGTTTACCGAGCTCCGAGGTCCGTTGAACGTTATCCAATCGGAATCGAACGGAATTATATCGAGTCAGTCGACTAATCTGATTTAGAAGCACTTGTCGAATGCTCGAAAGCGCGTTTAATCTTTTGGTGGATCGAGAGTCGAATCGAGGGGGCCGAGCCGCAACCGGAAGACACGAAAAAGAAACAAGGATAGAACGGTCTGTTGTGAAAAACTAATTTAAATAAGGAAACTTGCACTTGTAGATACAAGGTAGAGAATTAAACAGGTTTCATTCTCTACCTTGTTTTCGGAATGGACACAGGTTTATTTGTATTTACAAATAGACCTATTGATATACTTTTCATTAGTACGCGTAAGCCAAATTCAACGTATATTAATATATCAGGTTGTCCGAAAAGTTTCTTTCATAATTTGCACTCGATTATTTCGTGCGGTAGTGTTTACATAAATAGACGATCTAATTTCTCAAATGTTGATGGCGTAACAGTAACGGAGCAAAATGAATCGTACACAATTCAATAATGTAACATTAGACATAAAATATTGTGTACGCATTACTTATTAATAAAACGAAAGAAACTTTTCGGACAACCTAATATATTGACGTAGGAAATTCTCTTTCAAACTCTTCCTAAGTAAGCTCTCTAAATAGTCCGGTAGTTAGAGTGTTAATTGCCTTCTTTAAACTTTCTAAAAATAACAAAAATAAACTACCCCTGGTAGGAGTATCGCGACTCGTGCTCCAGATAGCGCGTATTCTCAATTCCAAAGATTCGGAGTCTCCCACTCGGTGTACCGAGAGGAACATTCCAAGGCCAACAAAGCCTCCATTTTTAAAGGTGAGGTATGCTAGATCCCGTATTTAAAGGTCCATTCAGTCGCTAAAAAGGCCTCCGCGCTTCCGAAAGCACTTTTTTTGCGCGAACGTTGAGCCCCGTACGGCGAACTTACCTTGGCGCGCTTTTCACGGCAACCAGGGCCGGTCGCGTTTCAAATTTTATCCCAGTTATAAAGTCGGCCGACGTAAGGAAAAATAACAACCGAGGAAAATAAGCGCCGCGGGAAATTCTCGTTGTCTGGCGTAAAAATCGCGACGTACGAGACCCGACGGGGGAATAGGCGGTACGCGAGACGTTCTCTTCCTACCAAGGGGATTTCTAAATGGAGATTCCGCGATTTCGCGCCGTTTTCGACACTGCAGTGGCACGTTTGGGTCCGATTTATTCGTTCGTTTAGTGCGCAATTTATCGACAAAAGAAGGGAAGAAAACCAAACAAGATACATATTTCATACGATATCTCTGACCGACGAATATCTTTTTATCCTAGAAGGAATACGAGTCAAAGCAACAAAACGTGACTCGCGTGTAACATTACGCGCAATTCGGTACAAAAAAAAATGTTTATAAATAGAGGTCGAGCGATACAAGGCACCTACAACGTTCCATTGAAATCCAACGGCAATTCGTTAATTTATTTCACGGTTCGTAGCGTCGAGTGAAAGACACGGAAGATAAAATATTTCGCGTTCCGTCGAGGTTTCGAGGTTGCGAGCAATAATAACAGACACAAACAACAATACGGTTCGCTGGACTCCAACGTTGATTTAATGAACGAAATATAAGTGTGCCACTCTACGGTTTGACGATTGAGATTTGCTCTCGCCGTCCGGATAAACAGACCCGAATTTCGATGGAGCACCGAGTCTCTCCCAAACGAGATAATGGCACCCCGTTTTCGATCCCGCTGGCGTGTTTCGTCGATCTACTCATTCATGCGTGCATACACGCACACCGGCGCGCGTGTGCAACCGAACGCATCGATAAACCACCCGACGGCACGCGGGAAACTTTCAAAGGTCTTATGGAATTAACCCACTGGGACTGGGAAAAGCATCGGGGCTCGGTCCCCGATCAGACCGTATTAATATGCCAGCGGGAAAGTTTCCCCAGCGACGGTGTGGCTCAAAACGCTCGGAAAATACGGATTTTTGTGCGAACAAGCGGGGATATTTTAGTATTAGAATCTATATTTAAATTTAAGATCGGTGGCGATTAGAGTCAGCAAATGAAAACCTTACGTATATTAAGCTGGCGTAGCCATTTCAAAAGGCCAATGCCGAATTAACGCGATATTTTTTTGCTATTTATTTGCTAATTATTTACCAAAGAATTAATTTTTTTGCTCCAGCCGTATTCGAGAAACAATGGCTATGCTAGCGTAGCCACTTATGTATCTCTGTTCAACGTACACACTTAACAATGTACACAACGATATTTTTCAAAATCCGTTGATTTTTAATGTGGACATTTTCGAGCAAAACAATAGAATAATTTAGCAATTTTTTAATCAGCTTGTACGCGGTTAACGGGAACTTTATACGCGGTATCGGGTAAAATCCGATTGCTCCCCCCCCCCCCCCTTCCGGCCAGCCCCAATAATGAATTAGCAACAACGTGGCTGTAGCCGAATACTAATTCGAACGTTTCGCGCGCACGAACGCATCGAAATAATAACATGGCGGAGGAATTGATTTCACGCATTTCCAAAGGTTCAAAAGGATCTTTTCATCGAACGTCACTCGCCTGAGCAGAGGGTGGGTTTAAATCGGGGACGGGCGAAATTTTATTACGGAATAGAAACGAAATCGTTGCCGAGATATTTCGGTTTATAAATCGAAACTGCAATTTGTATTCTACGGGCAACAAATAAAAAATAGCGTAGCTTTTTATTCGTTGGTCGAAATTTGTGTCTGAATAAATATGTTCCTACACGGCCATAAAGTAGATGTATCGCTTAATGGCCAGATTAATTATACGAGTACTACATCTATTTATTGCTCTTATCGTAAAAAAAAAAAAAAAAAAAAAAAATGTATTTACCCACTTATCGAGATAGCGAATGAAGAGCTAGAAATCATGTAAACTTTGATACGTAATCCTCTTATCCTTTCGTAATTCTGTTTTTGTTTCTATGCTTTCTATTTCTATCATTTTATACTCATGGGAAAATAAGACTAAATGGTTCGATTGAAATGGGCCACCCTGTACGTGGTGCGTCGCTCCCACAGCACACGGCTAACAGTCATCGAAAGAAAATGATACCCGATGCAAGTAAATGTTACTCGTATTACAGATTATAATGGCGTCCATGCATTATCGCCATGGCAAAGATTAAAACATTTTGATAAGATAAAATAAGAAAAGCGCGCGAGGTTTTGCGTTACCAGGCGTTCAACAATTTCGTTCGATGCCATTAATGACATCATACCGTCATTTGTTAAGAAACACGGAGACAGACAGCTGGGCTAATTACGAATTCATTTGTAACCATTTGCCGGGGAACGTACATACGCTTACGTCACCGAACGCTATCCGACGGTAGCTTCGACAAAATTTAATTCTTTTTTAATTGTCTGTTTAAACCTCTTTTCATTCACTTCATTTCGTTTTCAATAACTTCGATAAACTTCTTTAACAAAATTTCTAATTTCGTGTTCGTGCACTCGCGTTGACAAAGTTTCAACGGAGAATGATTGATAACATCCGAACAGGAAGTCGTGGGAACCCGAGAAGGCCCAATTCGAAGCTAAGATCTTTCAGATGATACTTGACTCGATCATTTTAGGCCACGTGTCTGGAACAATATAGTTTATAGTGTCAAGATTGCGTGGATTAAAAATTTAGTAACGAGTGAAGAATAAAGAGGGTGTAGAAAAGTAAAAATAAGCAAAGTTTCGATAAAAAGGCGTATGTGAAGCTTTATACTGTCACTAACCTAACCTTCATTTAAAATAATCTGTATTAACTAAGTTTTCATTAACTGAATCGAAAGTGGTCGATGATCAGCCAACAGCCGTCGGAAGAATTATCGCTGAATAACGTGGCGTTAACTCGGGCAATGCATTGTACACGTTCGTTTCGAGAATTGGACTATCTTCTTAATTTATATTTCTTCAACCTCTCGAGAGCACTCCCAAATGTTGTGACCTGAAGTGATTCTAATCGAAACTGGCTACGTGACAAAATACACGTATCTATCCAATAATAATTTGTATCTTTGCTTTCATCTGATTACATAAATTAACGAAACATTTTTCAATCCTAGTATATCGCGTCGATGTCGAAATATTCCCATGGAAAACAGTAAATAGACAGAGAAATTACTTATTTCGCGTGAAATAACGATACAAAACATACATTACAACGCACAGCAGGCTTGAAGAGGTTAGCTTCCGTTTACTCGGCGCAGTTGGAACGGGAAAAACCTGAACTCGAGATCGAAAAATTAATTGGTCGATTCCAGAGAAAATATGAAGGCGCGCAAGTCGCACAGGAATGTTCCAATTACTTCGATGATAAATTAGAAATGCTTTCGCTTTTTCCCCGGCTCCGACGGTTGAACAAATCCAATACCTTGCGAGGGAGAAGTTTTCTATACGTATAGGAACCTCAACAATTTTTTTAGATCGACAAACGTACGATTAACCTCAAAGTTAAATTCAACGTCTATGAAGTACAATTGTTGTTTACTTTTCTATTTTATAGAAAATATTTACACGCTGTTGGCTCTCCCTAAAACAATCGCGATCAACGTTGTTATTTGGTTATAAATAAAAGCAACCACTTGTAAATATTTCATTTTCATGAAGTAGACAGTGAATAACAATTTCATTTTACGGATGTTCGTCAATCTCTTTGTTGAGGTTTAATAACGAAATATTTTGGTAGTTTGGTATTGTTTCCGTCTATTATCTTCGAAACTGTTATTTCTCTGTAAACGTTCGTTCCCTCTATTTTAATCAATTTGCCAAAACGGCAGAACGATGGAGATGGTGATTATTTAATTTCGCGAATTGTTTTCGTTAACGAATATATTGTTTGAATCCAATTAAGAACCGTGAAAGAATTATTATGGTGAAATAATTATGGTGCAAGTCAATGGAACGAAAATTAAGCGTGGGAGGACGTGGACGAAACAAAACGTATTGTCAAAAATGTTTAGTCGCGTTTTGGGGTGGAACAAACGCGGAAAGTTCGATAGCGTTGATAATAGTGGCAAAAATCTCGCACGGTAGCATCTCGTAACAGCACCACTGCTATGAAATACCAAGTACACTCGACCGCCTTTGAAACCGGTATAAAAAGGCCGAGCGACAGGCCACTGGAACACGCTATTAAATAGGCCGAGCTGCTAGAAGGGAAATGATTAATCGCTCTGTGAAACCGTCTTTTCACCCTAAAAATTACTCGCATGACGAATGCGATCAATTGATATCCTACTATGCAAATTCCCTCTTCGATATATTCCTCTGACTCGTGATATCGGCGCACGGAAAACGTACCTCGTTCTTTACTCCTTACTTCAAATTCCATCTTTTACAATAACAAATAACCTCAAACTATTGCAAAAAAAAAAAAAAAAAATAGATTTCTGTAAAATCTAGAATCTTACTATTCTATCTCTCAAAAGTGGAATAAATAAGACTTGTCACAGAATGCACTATGAAAGTTTCCCAAATTATGAGACAAATGCAATGAGAGTAAGAAGGAATATGCATTGGTTGGTATTAGTACTCATAAGCCACCCAATCAAGGTTGGAATTACGCCTACAGTAAACTATACAGTTTACTTGAATATAGCTTCTCTATATCCCTCCTCTAGATTGAGGTTATGTTGTTGTTTGTTTTCCTCTATCTGAACAATTTTAATAACCAAGCATTACATACTATCAATGATGCACTCATTGGTCAAGTCACGAATATCTCCTGGTATTTTCATATTCCTATTACATCTAACAAGTTTATCACGTGTAAATATAAAACAGACAAGTATATAAGGTTAAAATAAGTAATTATGCATGAATATGTAACCAAATTATCATTGAAGCCTATCCAAAGGATACAAGAAACTAATGTATACATTTCATAAGTAAGATTCAACACGATACACTTGATATAGAAAATTGGAATATCATAAAATGAGGTTACTTCGTTTTAGTTCTAACATGGATTGGTTATGGTTCAATGTGCGGTAAATGCATTACTACTTCCACAGACATGTAACTATCCTTTGATGTTATCATTTCCTGGTTCAAATCGTAGACTCAATTTTGTTCAGCTATTGCTATGAAGATGCCCGACAGATGCTAAGTACTCCGTTTAATTATATATTACATAAAGCACAGATTTCCATCATCGATAACACAAATTATTCCAAACATACCGAACTGTTATCGAGACATTGCTCCTGTCAAGCCGTAAAACACTTGGTATTCAAGACCAAGCAAGGCAATTTTTTTGTGTATGTTTTTCAAGATAGATACTAATCCATAGACACCCAAAAAAAATATGAAAAGAATATTGTCGGTGTACTCACTCTGTGGGTAGTGCAGGATTTAGGAAGGGTGGTACTGCTGGCAGAGTGGGTAGACACGGTGGTGGAGAACCGGTGAATTGTTTCGGTAGGATGCACAAACATCGGGCGGCACGGAACTCGCGGAGTGGCCGTCGTCTATGTTGCTTGTACACGCTAGTGCCGCTGTCCATGCATCACGTACGCGTACCGTCATTCGGCGAAACCTGGAGGGCTACGTAAGCGCGTATATCCAAGTGGTCGGGGATCACGAACACGAAATACGCACACGGCACCGGGGTACGACGTGAGGACAAGGCACGACACAACACGTATACACGAACACGGTAACGCACGGGGCTACGCACAAATAAAAGTAACGACGATCGTGAAACTGTCGAGACACCACCTTCGAGGAAGCGAGAATTCTTCGGAATAAGTGTGACGGCGGGGGCTACGGATTAATATGGCCGTCCCTCGTTGACATGGAGTTTCGAGTCACGCGTAAAATGCAACGCCGTGGAAACGCAAAAAACAGGTTGACCAGGGTATCATTGGCGAGAGAGAGGCTTGTTCGCGTACGACGCTCTCGCATTTGTTTCACTCGCGGCACCACACACAACCACCCGCGATTCTACATGCGACTATTCACTTCCGTATTCACCCTTGCTGTATTTTCCACGCGATACCTCCAGCTTTCTCTTCTTTCTTCTCTTCCTACCTCCGATCCTCGTTTGTTCCTCTCTCTGTCACACGCGATTCCCTTCAACCCCTCGTCGAGCACGTTCTTCGCTCGTTCTTCCTCTTTTCTTTCTCCTCTCTCCCGTTTCTGGCCGTTTTCGTCGACAATTGGGAGAAGAGAGATCCAGTGAACACTGCACTCGCGTTTCTCTATCACCGAGAACTTCTTCGATATATCGTTTCCTCGTACGGGCACACCACGAGGATCGTGGAAGCATTCGAACGATCGCGTTCAATTCACGCTTTTCGAGGACGTGACGCGGCCTTGCTGCGAACGACGTCAACATCACCACCGTACGCTTTCATGGCGGCCATCTTTTTCGAGATATGCGAATCGCGGAACGGGAAACGCACACGCGTGTATGTATGACGTACACATGCATACACGTGCGAGTCACTGGGCGATACGTACATATACGCAATATGGCCGACCACCACGAGACCTACCAACGAGACAGAACCGAAAGAGACACTTGGGCCTACGCACACAATCGTAAACTCGACCGTGCCAGCCTGGATATTTTGGATGGCGAACGACTAGCCGGACGAACCGGACCGAAGAACGAGGAACGGTTGACGTTCCTTGTTTAATAGGGAATTGTGGCGCTGCTGTTCGTTCTCGTTTAAAATTTCAACCGGAGTCTATTTTGAATCCAACTTGGTTTCACTTGACCGCTTAATTTGAAACAATGGATGAAATATAATATCTTTACTTTTATTTTCACTTAAAAGTACAAAATAAAGACACGTCTGAACACTGCATATAAAGTGGATGGTATTCTAATGAATGGAAAATTTTAGACAAATCTTACTTGCTTCGTATTATACTAGGAAAATTATTCCTCTCTTTTGAACATATAGATTTAATGTATATCTAGGGACTTTATTCTTGTTTTCCTTCTGTTTTGTCTTCTTAAAACTCCTCGACCAATCACGATTCGATTCTCAATTTGATACGTTTGACAATCTGAGAATACTCTGATATTTCGTTTTTGTAAAGCTAGTTTTGTTATGAGAGATTTTAATTCGTGTTTGCGTTTTTGATGAATTTTCTTAATTAGCCAGTAGCGTGCATGTCCATATGTATCGATGGTTAAATAGGGTGAAACGATTATGAGTTTGTGAAATTTGTAATTATGTTTAGGATTGTACGCTTGAGGTAGAAGGTATCGCCAGAGTTCACATAAAATGGTCCTTTTTCTGCAAATACATCTATTTATTCGTAACATTGGTTTCACCATAGAAACAGTTCAAAAATCACCGCTGCACTTTTGTAGGGGTAATAAAGTTTCTGTAATCCATAAATATTACATGTATCAAATTTTCGTATAAAATAAAATTTTCATGTATAAAACTTCAATACAGTTTTGAGGTTCAATGTTTTTCTGTACAACATATATGTATACATACAAAGAGGAATTTTTCTTCGTGTAGCACCCTTATTCTGTTATACATTAATACAAACCAAATTTTTTATCTTCATGCATATATTAAATGTATAAAAACAAGATGGAATGCACTAATTTTCCTTATACTTGCATTTTACAAATACAATGCGGGTTCGTATAAATTTTTTATGTGGCAGTATGTTCTGCGTATCTCCTTTTTTGACGCGATAGCGTCGATGATTCTGTATAATTGTTAAAGTTTACAACTTTAAAACTTCTTGAACGGCAGCGACGATTTTGTTCGCACTAATTCCATATTTCTCCAACAATACGTTTGATGGTCCAGAACGAGGAACTTCCGTAACGGCCAGCTTTTTAACTACAACATTCTTTTCCAAAGCAACTACCGACAAAACTGCATCGCCTAAACCACCTTCCGCGTAATGATCTTCGACCGTAATGACCTTACCACCAACCTCTTTGGCGTTCTTTAGAATCAATTGAGCATCGAGTGGTTTAATTGTGAACGGATCGATTACTCGAACGTTTATTCCAGCTTTAGACAATTCGTCAGCAGCTTTGAGTGCCTCGTGTAGAGTTACACCAGCTCCGACAACGAGTACTCGATCTTTTGGGGAAGATTTAACCACCTTACCCTTGCCAACGGCGAATGGTTCGTCATTTTTATATAGAACCGCGGTAGCAGGGCGGGAAGTACGTACGAAACATATGCCTTTCGTATTAGCTGCTAGTTCAATGGCACGTTCTGTTGAAACAGCATCGCTCGGGTAGAAGACGGTGGAACCAGGTACCGTACGGAACATAGCTATATCCTCCAAACCCATCTGTGATGGACCATCTTCTCCGATTGAAACACCACAATGGGAACCAACAAAGTTAACATTGGTTTGTGAAATAGCACCCATACGGATCTGCGAAATTAAAGATTATTCGTATACATTAATTGTTTAAAACAAGTGTAATATTTAACTGTACATTCGCTAGTCGATACATACCTGATCAAAGGCGCGTGTGAAGAAGGTTGCAAAGGCAGACACGAACGCAACGGTTCTGTCTCTGCAGGCTGCACCTATCGCAACTCCTACAACGTTTTGTTCAGCGATAAAACCTTCGATGAATCGGGCTGGATCGACGGTCTTAATTTTTTCCGCGAACGTAGAGTTTTTCGTGTCACCGTCCAGAGCGATTACGCGAGGATTATTTTTGGCCAGCTAAAACAAAAAATAATATTAAAAGATGTACAAAAAAAATAAACTTTTTTGCTTACAAAAGAAAGTGTACAAACCTTAGCTAGAGCAGTGCCATAAGCCAATCTTGAAGCTACTTGTTCTCCCAGTTTATAACTTGGAGGAGATGCTAGCTTAATATTGCTGATGTCTACGAGTGGAGCATCGTCAACCAGTGGTTTCTGGGGGTGCAACCCAAGGGGGCCAGGGTTTTTCAACATTCCGGTTAAGTGCTGAATTACTTCATTGGCTTTGTTGCCAAGAGGTTTCCCATGCCAGTTTTCTAGATCTTCGATATTGGGGAAGTGCTTGCCCTTAAAGGTTTTTGCTAGAATAGCAGTTGGGCGTCCTTTCGTATTTTGTGCTTCGTGGAAGGCCTGTAAAGTTCCATTTTACATTTTCCGTATACTCAAATATTATGTTGTCCCAAAAGTTTCTTTCGCTTTATTAATATGTAATACATGCACAATATTTTATGTTTTATGTTACATTACTGAATTGTGCACGATTCATTTTGCTCCATTCCTGTTACAACATGAACATCTATGAAATTAGATTGTCTATTTATATAAACACGACCGTATGAAATAATGGAGTGCAACTCGCGAAAGAAACTTTCGGGACAACCTAATAATTCCCGATCTGAAACATACCTTAGCCAATTCTTCGACATCGTGACCATCGACAACCAAAGCGTTAAAACCAAAAGCTTCGAGTCTTTTACGGTAAACTTCCATGTTGTGTTGAAGAGACGTGGGCTCGCTTTGACCCAGGCGATTTATGTCGAAGATCGCACAGAGATTGTCTAATTTGTAGTAAGACGAAAAATGAAGTGCTTCCCAAATGGAACCTTCTGCTGCTTCTCCATCACCAATTAGACAGTACACGCTGTACATGCATTACCATTATTTTATTTATATATTTTACAAATAAAATCTTTCTTATTCTGTCGATGATTATTACCGATAATTAGCCTTGTCGAAATTTTTTCCAACATAGGCCATGCCTGCTGCAACAGAGAGACCTTGTCCAAGGGAACCAGTTCCCACATCAACAAAGTTAAGTCGTGGAGTAGGATGACCTTCCAAATCGCTATCAATTTTCCTCAAATTCAGCAATTCACTGGTTGGGAAAAGACCTGCCTGTGCCCATGCTACAATGATATATATGTGTAATAAGTATCGCGTGATCTTATCGTACATCGCGTGAGAATCGTTTAATATAGATGTATGCAAAAATGTTACCTGCATAAAGAATAGGTGCTGCATGACCTTTGCTCAGAACAAATCTGTCGCTGCTCGGATCGCGCGGTGCCGATACTTTGTAACGCATTGTATGGAAAAACAACACGGACATAATTTCTGCCATCGAGGAACATGATGTTGGATGACTAGAAAATGAAAAAAAAATAGATAGCCTTTACAAAAAAATTTTTTTTTTTTTAATTTTATTGGAAAATACTTACTACTAGTCTTTTTCATTCTACGAGTACCAATTATGTAATTTGATGATATTAAAAATTGGGGAAATCTACGAAAACTATTATCTTTAAAGGTCAAGGATCGATTATCTCAATCACACGACCGTGAAACACAAAAAAAACCGAAAGTAGCAAAAATTCTTTATTACGCAACGTGTAATGCATGAATAGGGGGAAGAATAATATTTTTCATGTAAAACAAAAATAGTAGTATGTTCAACGCTAGTAGAATGGTTTTGAATAGTAAAAAAAAAAAAAAAGATAGTAACATAGTATGATGAATATAATAATAATATATTAATTATGACAAAATAAAATAAAATTTATAAGTCGGAATTAATTCAAATATATAACGGAATATTATTTGTCTTTAGGAAACATTCCAAGGTTGTAATTCCAAACATGTGTATATTTTTTCCCACATTTCTTCATGTCTGTTACTCGTGTTCACCATATCACAACTAATTCAAATTCTACTAATATACTCAATATCTATTAATTGCGCGAATTATCGCATATCACGATAAATTTGAAAATAAATGATTGCGACACCGATCAATGTCGACGAGTACTCGTTCAACGATAGAGAACACCAATCGTAAAATTGGTCAACAATTTTACTATCTTTATCAATCTATTACGATAGGTAAGGTATCTAACGCAAAGGAAACCAAGTAAATAATCCAGAATAACGTACAAAGTACAATAAATTTTATGTCCAGCGCAGAATTTAAATTGCAATGAAACATCACTTTCTATTGAATTCTGCAGAGACGCAAAAGTATTACGAGTGGAATATGTAACTATTTTTAAATATTTGTCCCTCGTGTACGTCATCCTTACCAAATAATTAGAATTAATTTGAACGAAGTGTTCAGCTAATGGCATTAATAACGAATTATCACACGTCTTCGTAATTTGAGAAACGATTAGAAGCAGTTATATCGACCGTTTGAAGGGGAAACTTTAAACGTACGAAAATATCAATGTAAAACTGTGTGGCGATAAAAATATTGTTAAGTGAAAATAGTTAGAAAATATGAGAACTTTACTAAAAAAAAAGTAGGCGTTAAATGTTTGGTTTCATCGTACCCACTTTTCGATGCCTCGGTAGCCTGAATACATTCAATGCGAAGCCTGTTCGCAAGGTCTTGGAGTTTTTCCATGTTCGAATCGCGCACCATCGTGAACTAGAAGGAAGGGTATAGGCTTCTCAAAATCGTCACCGGACGAACGTTCGATAACAACTGAGGGGAGAGACCTTTCGGAAGTTACTGTGCGTCGAAACGTCCCTACTTTCTTCCCCTCGGATTATAGGACATTTCAAAATCAATGCGTTTGCGCTGCACGCGAAGGAGGGGGAAATTTCTGGACTTTTACTCCGCGTCTCGCCATGTATAACACGTGACAAGGTGATCGCCAATATTCTCATTCAAAAAATGTGAAATATCAAATAAATTACACCGAATAACAAATCAAACTGTACGTGCATTCTATAATGAGCAGTGGTGTAACTAAGGACATCTATAGGTATCTGTGATTCTATTCAGCATAATATGTTTTAAGGCCCTCAGAATTGTTAGTTACGTCACTGACAGTGTGAATGAGGCTTGAACGTTACCTCCTACGTACACATGTTACCCTGAAACATGCAATATATCCCGAAAGGAATACCATTCCTTTTTTTTTTAACGAGTCATTATTCTTTAGAAAATTAATTGAAGTGAAATCTCACTTCTGTTGTTATAAAAAATTATAATTTTACGAAAGTAACGTTGTTGAATTATTTCTACTTCATGGTTCTTTTCGCACTTATCTACTACATGAGTTCTGTATACAAAAAAAACCCCATGGTCGTTATCGAATTCCGTTATCTCGAATGGAAAAAACCACGTTAGTTTTACAATAAATATATTTTTAGAAGGCCCGCGGGAAAATTAACGAGTCGTACGATGTACATTTATCGTACGGTTACATTTACTTCTTTATCGCGGTTAACCCTAAAAAATCTGGAGTTATATTTTCAGTGAAAACATGAAACTTTGTCGTGCTCGTGATCGTTCGATTTCATCGTACGAATGTTATGTAATAATTTCATAGCCTGTATCATTCTCGTATCGTGCACGTGTCGCAGATGCCGTTGCTATGTGCAAAACCATGCGTAAGAAAAATGAAGGTTCTCGAGATTCCACCTCGACGACTCTCACGCTGAAAACTTTCAATTTGTCACACCAAAGTACTAATTACGTTTACAGCTTACTAGAATGTAAACTAGTATTTTTAATCGTGCAACGTGTATCCTGTGACACACGCTACGTTGTAAATGCATTTTTATATACGTTCTTTCTACCAGTAACTAAATAAATATTTCACTGTATTTATCAATGGAAAGCTAGACTATATATCTATTTAATTTTTTGAGTTACAGTATTTTGTCTTCGTCATTTAATTATGAATAACTGATGGAAATAAAACATCGTAAAGATAATGAAACACATATATAACAGAACGTTGACGTGATTCCGGTTTCTAGTAAACTGCATAAACATGATATGCAGTCATAAGACTACCTTGAACTAACAATTGTGATGTAACACGCTGAAAAAGTGGTGTGACACTAAAGGCTTCGATGAATCGCAAAAGCGAACAATCTAACTTTGGATCAATGCCAAGTCGCTGAAAAAATATCCAGCATCGCAATCTCGACGATGAAAAATGAAAGAAGACGTTGAACGCGATGCTGTGTAACATAATCGACTATCGTTTGCAGATAAATTATCGCAACGGAGAAATAAAGCAATCACTCTCTCATGTCGCTTACATCGTGGTAATTTTTGCGCGCGATTATCCAAACTTTTGATTTTTTCTTTTTATAAATCATGACTCGTAATTGCACAATCGCATGTACAATTAATCGTTGAACATCGACTTGTGAACAAATTATTCGGTATACAATCGATTAATGAAATAATTATAATAAAACATAAAATTGCTGAACGTACCCGGATTTGCTGGCTTGCGTGGCATCGATTGAATGAATTCGCAGCTTCGTCGCGATATCCTTCAATTCCTGGATGGTTTTTGATTCCGGCTTGTGATAGTTGGCCATTTTCTTCTCGTGCAACAATCCGTTTAAACTTCTTAAAACCTTCTCAGAAAAACGCCGACTATGGCTCGTGCTTCCAAGCAACAAGTAGAATTCCCGCAAGCACGATGTATATCGAATATAGACGATCTAACGAGCTAGCATTATTTGTCTTCGTAATAGTACTTAGTTGTCTCTAGGTGACTCTACTTGTGTTTGTATCGTGGCGACCTCCTCGACGAAGTATAGAACAAACATCAAAAAAGTAAAAATTAAAAACGAGGTTTGTTTCCATAAATTATCGATCAATGATCAGTTTGAACATGTATCAGCATCGAAATACAGTTAAATCTCGGTAAATCAAAGCTGAAAAATGTTTCGAATTGTCAAGATTTACAGTTATAACTACAAATGAAATCGTTATGTAACACATACATTCAAATTCATTCACTGACTGTTGAATAAAACTGAATACAAAAATTTCAAACGCTTCTTTCCATTCCCTTTTTTTAATTTAAATGCGGTATAAGGAATCCAAAAAAAAAATGTCCCTAAACCATATTATTTTAAGAACAAATTTATTTGACGCTTAGGAACAGGATTCATGGTGTTATATTTAGTACAGTTGATATCGAAGTATTCGTTTATAATTCCATACCTAATCGATAATAAATGATCAAACTAAAATTATGCATAAGAATCGGTATCATAACAAAGATTTCATCAAAATCTATAAAGTAGATACAACCGAATTACAAACTGTGATGTTAACATAAGCGTCTGTACCGTTAAACCCTTACCGCTGAATTATTTTCCTTCAAAGTGTGAAGTTATCCGTTTGAAAAAATAACTCAGTTCACTCGAGTACCATGAATTACGAAATATTTCCAAGAACAAGTAAAATTTACTATAACTCTAGAGACTAAATTTGAAAAAATATCGCTTTACTGTTATTCTTGAAATTATATAAAAAGTTACGCAGTAAGGGATTAAGTTTATCGCTTTTAATAATCGCATCGGTTAAAAATATCTGCGTATCGTTATTATCGATCTGTAAGAATAAATTATTGTAATAAAAGATTAAACATTACGTTATAATTAATTCTAGATTTATATCTTATTAAATTATATGTACATATATCTTAGCATTATAGTATCCTTGTAATGAAATTCGCACTTTAATACTTGGTACGATTTTTATCAACGACATTTTAACAATATCGTGTTCAATTGTCGTGTGTTTTATCTTTCGTTAACGTTTCACCGAACAGTTCGTCCTATTCCTCTGATAAAGCCTTTTTTTCGTGTAATGGCTTTCAAATGGATGCTTGTGGTGATGTCTAAGTGTGCGAATTTTGTGATTCCATTGGTGCATCGTAAGCATAAGACGAGAAGGTATTCTTATATAGACTGTTCGAATAACAATTAACGTGAAAATTAAACTTGAATATTTTTTTTCAGTAACCGCCAAAACTGCTTAGACTTAAAATTCATCGAAATTAAATGTTTCATTTAATACACTTATGTAAACATAACACATAGTCATACGCCTTACACGCATATATATACATATATATAAATACATTTATATATATTTATGTACCATATACGTTCGTATATTTATATATACTTATACATATGCATACATGCAATTGGTTCCCATATTCCTTTGAACTTCATAATATATGCATGTCGGCATGTTAATTTACATTATCAATTAATAGCTTTATCACATATAAAGTTTGTTCTATTTACAGTAACTTTTCGTCTACGCTTGGAATGTTCCAATATTTCGTATGCGATTAATAATGACGTAAGAGTCACGATTCAATGAAAAACGTTTCGATCGTGCTTTTGGTATTTCCATTACGTCATATCTTTCTCGTAATAAAATTGAATTTGTCAAAAATCTTTGCACGATCATCCTCTTCCGTACTTCGTTCCGGTCTTTTAGAATTTCAAATTACACCAAGATCAAGCTCGTATAGTTTCAACTCTATTCAAACGTATCGCCATTTTGTCATCGTAGTTTAGCATCTGTCATAATGTTGCAGTAAATTAAGTTTTTACGTAAACATTTGTGATCTCTTACGTCTATACCTTGTTACGCATTTTTTTTCAAAACTAACTTCCAAAGATAAATTATACTAAATCATAATCTTTGACCGAAGTTTTAATAGATGGTACTAAAAAGTTTTATAAGAACGATAACTTAAAGATTATGTACAATTGATTACTTATAAAACTACTATGCAACAATTTAATGATTCTATACACTTGAAATTGTAACATTTCTCTTTATATTACATTCATCTGTTTCAGGATTAGTAAAAAAGGATGAGACTGCGCAAATTTATTTCTATCATTTTTGCACCTGCTTATCGTATACTAACTACTTTCGTGTTCCCGTGTGTATTGCTAATACATGTACTTTAATATTTCATCTCTGCAAAACTGAAATTTACTGAATAGCGTTATCGATAACCTTGAAATTCGCAACAATTAATCAACATCACGCACCAAGAAAGAATTGGTAAGTTCTCCTTTGTTAAGCACATTGCAGTAATTATAACCCCTTGACATTGCATTTATGAATATACTAATAACTTTTGATTTGATATGCTTTCTTATTCAGTATGAAATTTCAGCTTTATAATGAAAATTTTGAATAAGATAATACAAATTATTTTTTCGTAATATACAGAAAGTACGAAATATACAATTTACAATACCATCAAGCACGGGAAACTCAGTTACAATGTAACGTGGCATGTATTTGTAACAAAAAGTAAATTTATTACAGAAGAAAACTAATTTTAAAATGGTAATACACAAAATTAGGCGATGATAATAAATATGCGAGCGTGTGAAGTTCCTAAATGAGAATAAATAATGACAGATGTGTGCTTAACGCGTTCAATTCAATTATTATACACTAACAAGATTACGTATATAGACTTCTTCAGGTATGTGCTTCAAGTTTCGGTTTGCATTGCCATATCGTATATAAACAAATTATAATAGACATTTCGGCAAAAATTATAGTCCTTTTCATAAAATATATTGTTTTATAAAAATTGGTTTAGTAAGAAATAACTACAAAAAAAAAAAAAAAAAAATGATATCTATGTGCAATAGGTGTCAGGTACTTTTTGGAATCGATGCTTCACCCAGTACCCAAAGCTTTAAAGTCAACGTAAATATACAGAAAGGTTGTTTATTGTATTCATGTTGTGTTAATATCACATACAAGTACACTTTAAAGCTTCTAAAGAGAGGTCCTGTAACTGAGCGTTTGATTTCTGTACTTCACCAACATATTCCAAACATTTCCTAACATCCATATTGCTAATATTTATCTGTGGTAACGTAAAAAAATGCTGTATGTACATAACGGGCAATCCTCAATATGAAGATGAAATTACGATCCAAAGACTGCTCAATACGTTTAAATGATTTCACACTGCTTTTTCCAGCTTTCCTCATGCCATGGAAATTGTAACATTTATTCCTAGATTTCCATTATCAGCAAATAACTGTGCAATAGAGGTGTCAAATACAAGGCAGTCTGAATTTAAGATAGCAGATGAAACACCTTCGTGAATAGAACGTGGCATAGCTTCCCATGTCAGACGCCTTTTATGTCCATTCAGTTCTAGTCTGTTTAGCATTAGAATTAACATTAAATTATTATTGAAATATATTACAAAAAGCGCATATTTACCTATAAGCAAAGTTTTCTGCCTGTTTTCTTGAGCCAATCAGTTGAACAATTGCAAAAAATTGTTGGTGTCCATCATACTTTTCTTGCTTTTCAAGCACTAGCATAAAATGATGACCGAAACAAGACTGCATCATTACCCAGTCCACAGCACCAGGAAGATTAATATCAGTTGCTAAAAAAACAATGTCTTCTCCTGTAAAAGAACATTGTAGTTATCTTTTTAATTATAAGAAATAAAGTTGAGTGTCTTATTCAGGGACACTACCTTGAAGAGTTGTAATACTTTTGTGACTCATAACAAGATGCGGCATTACTTGTTCAAGAGATCCTTGCCATTTACAAGAAGCACCTGGACAAGGACAACTGTATGGACGGAATTCGCACGCATCTTCGTGATCTACCTTTTCAGTATGCAGCAAAGAAGCCGTGCATCCACTCGTTGAATACTTGCAAGGAAACATTACATTACCTGCCACTTTTTCCATAGCCAGGTTGCGGATATTACCTGTATTGAAAATACAGTCATTTGTTAAATATTTGTTTCCAAATAAAGCCTACATTGCAGACGTACTATTCAAAGATTTTAATTACATTTTAGTTTTACATACCTAATGGACCTCTACAGGTAGGACAGCAATTAAGCTTTGGTCGGCAAGTACTACAAACAAGGTGTCCACTTTGACACTGCAGGATTGGTGGAAGAACGTAATCGAAGCAAACCGGACATTCGAATAGGCTTGCTAAGTCAGTCGAACTGCTCAACGACGATACTGTGGATGCAGAGGAGCTTGCAACACTCCTCCCTCTCTTTCCTGTACTAATACTTAATTGGGACATCTTTTCCTTCTATTCTATGTACCAAACAAGAACACTTTGCCGTTGTGTCAACAAGGAAGTCCGTTTATATCCAAAATGTCTAATAAATGCGATGCATTCTGGAATGAATCGTCCACCTCATACCTGTAAATTATTGTTATTTTGAAAATTTTGTATACTTAAAATTTATTAGTTAAAAGGTTTATAACATTTTACAACTATACCTTTATTACAAGAATTATTTTATCATGCTGCAAAATCTATTCGTAGTACACATTTAATCAGTTTATTGTAAATTTACTATAAAATTTTGTTTGATCATTGGGGAAATTAAATATAATGTAATATTATATTTTAATTTAAACAAAATGCTTTACATGTATTTTATGGATTATCAAAGTATAGAAACAAATTTAATAAGCATTACATATGTGTATATAGAAGAGAGATACAACTATAAAAAGATAACACTATGTAAAACAGGAAAGAAAAAGTTATGAGTTTCTCACTCTTTAATTAATCAGTGTCTGATTAATGGTATCTTGTACCAGTAAGTGATGTATAATACAAGTATAGTGTATATATTTAGAATTTACATATACATAATAATATTGCAGCATGAATACACACTTTAAACATACCCAAATTCTTTTTACAGTTAATTTCCATTTATCTGAATAATTTTATGCAAAAACCGGACTGTTAACCTATATAATTAAGTATACATTTCACATACATGTTATTAAAATCAAATAATTAGGTAAAACACAAATATTAAATGAATGAAACATTGAACGCTTCCACTGTTACACAAGAATCTACATTTCATTGAAAATCGAAATGTTTCTTGCTTAATCCTCATCAAACTTTCGCGAGCAATGAATTGTTTGTAATTTCGCATGAATAAAATAGCACAAATAACGGAGGATTACGTTGTATATAAATCACACGAGCATTTATCGTGTGCGCGTCAAATAACATCGTCTTGTTCGATGAATTTTCAAAAGGGAAAAGTTTAACAAATCTTTTCAGAGTAACTCGACAAAATTTTCATACGGTGTCGTAGTGGCGGATTGTTTATCCCGGAAATATAACAAACGGAGCAAAAGTCTCATAGAATAGTATCGTGAAGAGAGTCACGAGTCGCAACGAATCAGCAGTCACAAATAAACAATGCGCGAGAAACAAGAGCAGCGGACGATTCTTGTTGAAGGATTACGTGTAGCGAGCACGAGGAAAGCGTACAAGTTTACAGTTGTTTACGAAAGTATTCGAACACTTCCATCTCTAAATTCTTCACAGGTCAAATATCTTAGACTCTAGTTTTCAAAATAATAATGTAACTTGGTGCAAATGCGAGCTTCGAGAACTAGCTGGTAACATTACGATGTGTCCGATAACGTAACTCATACCAGGGGTGGTGCAACCAGATATTAATATAAAAGAGTACCAAAGTATTTTCTTCGATGGAATACCTTTGCGACTTGTGTAAAAGGCATGTTTACATTGAATGTTTTATCGATTCTCCCTTTAATTACAGTATTGTTTTGAAAACTCGAGTGCAAAGTATGCATTTTACTCGCTAACAATTTGGGATGCAAGCATTCGAGCAACTGTACATCATCGTGAGGGATATACATTTATAAACTTACCGGAATTTAGATTGACAAATGTATTAGTACGTCACTCGATGCATACACTGGTTTTCGCGCGATTAGGATCGGAAAATAGCGAGTAAAGAGTGTGAGAGAGGGATAGAGAAGGCACTTGAGAACGATGACAACGGAGATACTAAACGAGAATGAAAACGTCGTGTGTAACGACAAAGAATGCCACGACAATAGGCAAATGTTGTTACGGGAACAACAACAACAGGAGATTTCATGCGACTTGGTTTCGGAAATGTTGCACGAAATGTTTCCGATACTTCTCGGTACATCGATGATGAATAAACGCGAACGCGATGAACATCGACTATGGAAGAGGCTACATCGCGAACTTTCTTGGCCAGAGAGGCAACATTAATCGCGACGTAACTTTTATCAATTTTCGCTGAGACATAGTAGCAGAGTCGCTCCTTTTCGAACTTCCGACACTACAAGCTTGCTTCCGTACAATACGACGCACACCAAGGTGATGACACTGCAACTGTCCGTCTGTCCGTTCGTTTACACCCATGCAACTGCCATTAACGAAACTTCAGCTTCGTTTTCATGAATCGTTACACTTGCATTAACGTTCACAATCTTGACTTTACTAGCGATGTCGGCCATATTATTACGCTTTATTACTTATTTTTGTACTTCGATACTATATATACGATATCTACATCTTCTTAAGATGTTCCCTATCCATTCGTACGTATATGGTCGCGTGCATTATTCATTTATGTATGAATGCACACGCGCTTCCAATGAGTTCACTACATCCTTACGATTTTATATTACACATAGAAATCATCTTCAGATATATGAATCGAATAACTCAAAAACTTTTTCACGTTCGTCACTATTCCGAGGTTTTTTTTATATATATACGTACACGTAAATACGAGTTTATCTAAAATTCTCTGCATGTACATAATTATCAACTTTATACAATGTTTGCGATATATTTCGATTCGAAACTAAATTTAGATCGAAAAAGGGTAATTAAACTTGTATGTTCACGTTTAAAAGTCAATTTAATTTCGATGCTTTTAAACTAGGATGAGGGAGGATTTACATTTTAAATAACTTTTTAAATGATCGAAGTATATACTTTTGTTCATACTTATGATTCAATTAGAACAAGGATGTTACAAAGTACTTTTCGAATAATGAATATTTTATTTTTTGTTATAATTAAAATATACACTGTGTCATGGGTGAAACAGGCGAATAGTAATCAATAGTAACAAAATATTTGTGTTATTTCCTTTAATTTCACACTCTGTTCTCTTTTTTATATATATATGTATATATATATTTTCCACACGCAGCAAATATGGTATACACAGTATACAGATTTAATTTCAAAAGCACAATTAGCTTGGCTTAAAATCTTTTTTTTTAAGAGAACAGTTTATTTTTCATTGTGTTTGTGTATTATGAATTATATTTAAGCCAAACTGTCTATACTTTTGTAACATCTGAGAAAAACTTGAATGTTTAAAGCCTTATCAGCCTTGTGTACAATATAATTTCGATGTACCTAAATGTAGTCCCATAATGCCATATCTACATTTGCTATAATTATGGTGTAAGTTTAAAAGTTTTTCATCGAAGAAATCATAAGATCTATTAGCTGTCAAATTCTCTAAGGTTTGTATCATGTCAAATGATACCCTACGCATTAACAGTCTTCTTGCCATATGAAGAGCAGTCTTTGTACACCAGACAGAAACTGCTGTTCAAAGCAAATGCGAAAGAAATGTCATAGTAGCCTAAATAACAGTAATTTTATTTTCGTTTATTCCAATGCCTTAAACATTCTGTTGATTCAGTGTTTACGAATCATTTTTTTTTTTATATATATAGAACAAGACACAATCTTTTTGCCATATTTGTATGTCTTCAATATAACACAGGAGTACACGAGTGCAGCAAATTTCCAAACCTACTGATCGCATTAAACAGACTTTTAGTTATCATTGTAACTGAAATATAAAAAAATAGATACATGACGTAGTGATAAAGATAATATTATGAAATGAACTTCATGCATGTTATAGTATACATCTTGCCCCTTCTGATGTAACTTTTGAAACCATTTTAGAATATTTTGTAACCATCTTCTATCACTCGCGTACTCTTCGCGTATCTACCCAGGACGTTCATATTTTAATTATATTCATTTTGAAATATTTATCTTTCTCTTAATCGCTACTTTATTATATACTAACTCATACACGTATACATCGTTATGTATGTATACACGCATTACATATAACATACGATGATTCGTATGCCTCTCATGATACCTTATGATTTGTATAAGTTACAGGACTTATTTTAGATTATAAACAATTAGATGATAATAGATAATACGTTTAGATTATAAATTTATGAGGAAGAAGTACGTTTAATTAGGAGTCGAACCGTTGGTCCATGAATGATAATTTGTTTTATATCTATCGATTATTTCTAACTGACAAGTGCTTTCTGAACTGAAACTGTTTACAGACATAAAGTCCTAATATAAACGACACAGCATTGTGTTTCTAATAATAAGATTAACACCAAGCATATAATAAACAATACTTTAGTAATGCAACTTAAGATGCTAAAGAATAATTAGAGTATTAAATTATAAGATATACATGTTAGTATTATGAATCATGAATAACAAGAAACCAGGAGTAAATCAATCATTTTAAGTTTCACGTTATATACGACTCCAAAAATATCGTAATGAGTTGATTATTAGTCACTGTCTCAAAAAAGCAGTTCTTCATATGAAAAATTTAATTCGAGTAAAAAATATTTGAACATCCATTTTAGTAGTCTTGTTAATAATTGTTTTACATGAGAAGTGACAGAATGTGCATAGACAAAAAAAGACACGATCCTTTCGCCTTAATAAATTACACTGATTGCTGATCAATGAAAAATTCGTTTCTTTTTTAGAAAATGTACATACAAATGTACATACATACAAAGATTAAGAAATTTGGAGCTCGAATAGGAATCTTGCAAGTATTCCAAAGGTTCTTCTATCCCAAATTTCTGTATCTCAGTCTCAAACTGTATCTAGATAAAGTTGGTCTACTCCTTACTATGTTCTTGTTTTATCACCAAATTTCGAGTATGTGAGATTCATATACTCTTTATTTTAATACGGTTGATGTCTTTGAAATTGACGTGGTCCCTGTCCATTTCCCCGTGGCTTACCTTGCGCTCCGTATCCCATATTATCGTAACCGTCGTAAGTTTCGTAATCAAAGTTCGCGTATATATCGTCGTAGCCTCCTTGGTAGCCATTACAATATTCGGGAATGTAGCCATAACCACCGCCGTAACCGTAACCGTATCCCGGGCCCCAGAATCCTTGATTCCTCGAATCTGGATTAACTTTTACTTTTTTGACATCCACTTCTTTACCGTTTATCGTTTGTTTTGGTGTTTTGAGTAATTTATACACGACTTCCTTAGAGTCAAATGTTATGAAGCAGAATCCTTTTCTCTGGTTTTTTACCTTATCGAATGGTGCTTGTAATTCGACGATAGTACCATATTGTCCAAAATACGATTTGATATCATCATCAGTGATTTCCGGAGTAAGACCACCCACAAAAATTTTCCCATGCTGAGGCTTTTTACTCACCCGTTTTGGATCCACCTATGTCGAAACAAAAAGATGGACACAACGTAAAAATTCGTGTAAAGAGGTCAGGATTGATTTAATCGGAAATGTTCGAATCGGAGCGTTAATATTTCCTTGAAATTATTACCGACCTTTCGTTTATTGATGTAGTGTTCCCCAGAAGCCAGAAGCTTGTCGATCGTCTTGGGATTGGTGAAAACCATGAATGCGAAGCCTCGCGAGACTCCCGTGTAGGGATCAATTTTAACGGTGATACTTTCAATCTCTCCGAATTTACCAAAATGATCTCGCAGCTCCTTGTCGGTGGTATTACGCGATAGGCCACCAACGAACAGCTTCCGCTCGTCATCTTTGCCTGGAATTCCAGCGGTGGCTTGTTGCTGATGGGACTGAGACTGTTGCTGTTGGTTTTGTGTCTGTTGACCGGTACTCTCGGCCTGGGCTTGATTCTGGTAACAGTCAACCGCCGCCATCGTGTACCGTTCAGAGCTTACCGCGTTGAAACGACGTCAGGAAATATAAAGTGGACTGGTCGAATTGACGAGATCAGCGAAAGCAACGGTGTTCTGCGCACGAGAATAATTTCAGAGTAGTTGGCACGCGTCACAGTCGGTTCTTATGGTGAACCGGTGCCGGCTTACGAGCGAAAGAAAGAGAGTCAGCAACAGTTTCCGATTCCCTCTAAGCTTCTTTTAACACAACGCTATTCGTCCTTTCTCCTAAGACGTAATTCGTCTCTCCAATCGCAACACCAGATTCAACGGACAACACCGGAAATTCCAGTTCATTTCCGCTGATCGTTTCATTACTAATTTTAATGAATTTTCACGAAACAATAGAAGATGGACACGTTGACGTGATAATATCTTCTTTAAATTTGCGAGATATTTTTATAATACATTCTTGCTCGTGTAACGAATGTTTGCTAAAAGGCCTTGAACATTGTCGTACACGAACAATGCACGAATACCTTTGTTCCTGTGACTGTGAGATCGGTAGCTTTATCAATCGAGATTCGCATATTATTAATTTGTTTTACAAAAATGGAATTACAACGTATGTTTTCCACACATTAACGACATTCTCCTTTTCTCTTTGCGTGGGAAGTGATGTAGGTTAGGTTAACATTTAGGTTGACGAACAAAGAGCTATATATTTTTATAGGAGACTCTGGTGCTTTGCATTATATAAAGTATCGCGATATCCGTAATGAAGAAATATCGATGTAAAAGATCAATGACATTTAGCACATTCATCCAGCTATGAAGTTAAAATTTGATATTGTAATGATAACGCAAACATTCTAATTGCATTTAATACATGTACAATCTATCGATGGACGCTGATAAATCAACATTCTTCTAAATTCAATCGATATGAATATGTTTGTAGAAGAAAATAATGCGAGCGCAGTAAAGTGTTAAATATTCAACTTTTATTATCTAATCAGAAAATTTCATTTGGAAATTTGGAGACACGCAACGTTCTTACTTATTTGCGCACTGTTTAAAGTCGTTGCTTTCTCAGTACATATATAAATATAGTCAGACAGAGAAGGTTGTATAAATAAAACACAGGCCCTCGGCAACCCCGGCTTATCTTTTCTTCGGTGGAACAGTTTAAGAATAGAATAAGGCTCTACGGGTAAACTGACGCGTTGTTAATTATAGAGCATGCTTGTTTCTACTTGTAGAAAAATTTGGTACAGAAATCGTCACTCTGAAACCATGAGCACAACATTTGCGACATCTTCTGAATCCAACGTTTTCCTTTACACGTTCGAGGAGAAAGATTTTTTCTTACTCTGTTTTATCATTCTTTCATCGCCAATAGTTAGTGATATTAAGCACCACTGGATGGCGCCACGAGTTGCGAGGCGGCTTGCTACTGTTAGATTGACAGTTTCTATTGCACTTGCAACGACGTTTGTTAACAGTTAAACATTGTCTGAAAAAATTGAAATTGAATTAGGTGAATATGTAACAAATTTGCTATTATCGTTTATTCAGAGTGACTAGAGTGTGTGATGTGACTGTAGTTTGGAAAAGAGGTGGCTTGTATTCGCATATGCAAGTGTTTATGGAATACTTTCGTCCCGCTACAAGCTTGAGAAATTGGCGCGAAAATGGAGGGTGTCAGCCCTCTACCACAGAACGTATTTGAGTGGGAAGCGAATAAAGAATATCGCTATTATCAACCACACATAACAGATCAAAGTATTCGTTTGTCGTTTCCTAAATTTCTACAGAGTGTCCCAAAAATGTTGTAACACCTTGAAAGAGGTGGTTCGGGAGGTGATTTGAAACAACTTTTTTCTTAGCGAAAATGTTGTCCGAGGCTTCGTTGAGGAGATATTAACGGAAAACACTGACCAATCAGTGCGCGCGGATACCGTTGGAGCGGCCGCGGTAGCGAAGGCTATGTGCTAAGCAGCCGCGCTTGTACGCGAACAAGTGACTCGACGTGCATCGAAGGACATTCCTTCAAGCCTTCGCTACCACGCTCCGGTCCAACGGTATACTCGCGCTCTGATTGGTCGGGGTTTTCTGTTAATATCTCCTTAACGAAGCCTCGGACAACATTTTCGCTAAGGAAAAATTTATTTCAAATCACCTCTCGAACCATCCCTTTCAATGTGTTACAACATTTTTGGGACACTCTGTATTTCAATCGTCCCGTTCGAACTTGAACGAAGATTAGACGAAGTACGTTACTTAGGCTTCGTATTGTTGTTTTCCGTTGTCACGCGATCCGACTTCGTACGTTCAACTTTGTTCTATTTCAACAACTTTTATTCTCTCTTTTATTATGGGTTGTAGAATGTATTGCAAGACGTTGTTTGACGGAGAACAATTTTGCTGGCGATCAATCGTACGAACCGGCGTGAGTATCACGGAACACGAGATACCATGACTCGTGTAATACGCACACGCATATAGTCGTAAGTAAAGATGTGTTTGACCTACGCGCTGGCGGACGTCATTTTCATCCTGGGTGTCCTATTACACCCTTCTTGTATTCTTTCACTATTATTCGTAATTGTAATGTAAATTGACATCGTAACGTTTCTCGTTTAATACAAAAACACTTTTTGCACCGATCACTCGCGTAACTAATAATTTCGAGGATCGTGTATCGATGGTCCCCTTTAGAGGGAAGCTTATCTTTTTTCATTTCTATTAATTTAATTATTATCCTTTCAGGTACTTACGAAACTGTTGAATCTTTGCGCCATAGGAAAGGAATTCGAAAATATATTTGGTCCTTAAAAAAAAATTGATGCGATAGGGCTGTTACTAAACATCAAGAATGGGATGTGAAAAGTAATGCGAGTTGAAAGGTAATCTTTACTACACGCAGACTTACAATTGCAGAATGATTATAAACCAATCGAATATCATACTATTATTTTAAAAACAATAATTAATGCATATCGATAATAGGATTAAATCACTTACTTTCCATCGTTTTCAGGGTATTTCAGAGCGATTCGAACTCGCACAGAAAACCACTCTTACCTCGCGCCTACTCGCGTGTCGAAAACATGTAAAGAGAGTTAAACGTTTCTCTAAATTTTCTCGATAAACCAATGCACAGTGTTGCAAGAAGTGCCTTCCTCCTGCGAGCTGTAAACATTGCCAATCTAAGCTTGAATTTGTTTCATCGTATCGAAAAATTTCATTTTTGAAAAGGCAATGTTTCGTATGCACTAGATTAATTAGATTTCTCTCGACTCTTCGCGTGTACCTGCCTTCTCTCTCTCTCTCTCTCTCTCTCTCTCTCTCTCTCTCTCTCTCTCTTCCGAGAAACGCGTCGGGTCGCGTACGACGCCGTACACGCAGCTTGTTCGTAGGAAGGGGGTGGGCGTCGCGACGCCAGGCGTCGCTGGCGTCGAGCCGGCGGCATATCGTCGAGTCGAACGTGTCGTGTGCCGTCGCTGTGTCCGCCGTCGCCGTCGTCGTTACCATTTTCCTTCGTACGGTTTTGAAAAAAGAAGTCGTGCGAACGAATCACGCGTTTTCCTTCCATTTCAAGTACTGGGGATGTCGAGCCTCGGTTGAATTTCCATCGGTTCCGGAACCGATCGACGTTGGACTTCCCGGTCACCGGAGAGGACCGTGTCTAGAAGCGAGTGACCGTGTATAATACACCAATTACGATTACACTACGGATTGGAATGTCGGAGGAGTAATATTCGTGCATCTGGGAGCTTTCGTCGGATCGTAAGAGCTGGAAAGAACGAGAAAAACCGGAAGAACACCGGAAGACTGGAATAGGGAAAGATCGAATTGGCCGAGGGAGAGAAGGAGAACGCTCCGGAACAAAAAGTACAAGTAAATGTCTACGGGTGATGAAAATATAGAATCGTTCGAAAGAGAAACAGAAGGATCGCGGGTATGCGAGCCGGGCAATAACCGTAGAGCACGAGAGAAGAGCAGCACGTAGCGAGAAGGTAAGGTAGTCGATTGATTTGCCGCCGACGTCGACGACGCCTCCTTTGCGCGTAGTTCTAACCCGCCCTCGTGTACACGGGGTAGCTAGGAGAGAGTGTGCGAGTGGGGAGAGAGAGGAATCGGTTCGACCAATCGGTGGTACCGATTCGGCGCGAATCTTCGTCGTGGCCACCCGGTGGTATCGGGAGATCGCGAGTATCGTTCGGTGGAGCCGGTGGATTCGAGCGTAGAACTAGAGAGGGAGAGAGAACGATCACGGTGTTAAGGGAGGGGTAGAGCGAGACAGAGAGGGGACAGTGAGGACGAGGCGCGTAACTAGGTGTACCATGAGTAATACGCGCAGCTCGCGGAGGAGCCCACGTTAGTACGATTTTGCGTCCGTGGAAACCCGTGAGGGTGTAGAAACGTACGGGACGTATATATTACGTGTACATATATACGTACATAACCGCCGGTACATATAAATATAATCGAACGCACCCAGATATCTATTTATAAGTTTAAACACAAGGCGAGAAGAAGGAGTGGTGGGAATCGCGGCGGTGGTAGCGATGCTCGGTCTCTCCTGGCGGATGTGTGCGTGCGTGTCGGATGGTCGTTGGTAGTGATGGTGCTCTCCTCTGCTAGTGGTCTTCGCGGTGGTGCTGCTGCTTTGGTGTGGTGATGATGCTAGCGATTGATGCTGGTGGTAGCAGTAGTGCGCTAGAGTAACGATAGACCGAAGAGGAAGGTAACGAACTGGAGAACGGTATTTTCTCAACGGCGAAACCGGGGAGAATTGGTGAACAGGGAACGGAGAATACATCCGGAGGAAGGTAACGGGGTAACGCGAGGTTAAAGGGAGATTAAAGGGTAAGACGGTAGCGAGTGGACGAGTAAGGGTGTCGAGAGTGCGTTGTCCGTGGTGCATCGTCGTGCGGAAGAGAAAGAAAGGAGGAGGCGGTGGAGAAAGTGGTGGATCAAGAGGAGGAGAAGAAGAACCGAGTCGAAGGAAGCGTCGGGGCAGCAGGACGAGGAGCAGGGGGTGAAGAGAAGGGAAGAGGAAGGGGCACCAGGGGAGGACATCCTGGCAGTGAGGGATCACGGCCGAGAGCGCGTCAACGCGGATATGACGAGCGGATACGCTCGGCTCACGTGATACGCAACACAATCGCTCCACCGATACCGTTCTCTTGCAAGATATGTGGTAAGTCGTTAGCTTTCTTGTTTGTTTGGATATTGAAGCAACCGTAAATACCAACGTGCCTTACTAGGCTGTTTACCTTTCGACCACATGGTCTGCACGGTTCTCTTATGAACAATATGAAATGACTAGCATTCATTCGATGTTTTATAAAGTAGCGACTCGACCTCTAGGGAGAGCGTTGTAGTTTCAGGGGAGGTGCTGAAAGAGAATTTTTAATAACGTAATTTTGTACGAATTACTCGACCATTTCTGTTAATTAATGTATCGATTAACTCGGTTCAACAGCTGTCGGAATGCCTTTTCCTTGTATTAGTTTAACCGTTTAAGGGATATCGACGCGTATGTGTACGTTTGCTTTTATATTAACGTTATCAATACTTAGGATCACGATACCGTTTAGAATTAAAACATACACCACTGGTTGAGACATTGTGCAAACCCTGCTTCCTGTCCGACGACTGTTACACAATGGGACAGAATTTCTCAAAGTGCAGCGAAAATTCTGGAACTTCTTAAACGGACCGTGGAAGACAGGAAGGGATGAAAAACAAAAAATATTTAATTAGGCTAGAAATAGATAAGCAATGGCGAAAATATCTATGTGTATTTGTGACAGCTACAGCTCTGAGCACGTGTCCTAATGCAGACGAGATAGTCGAATTGGCTCATCAAAGACTATCACCCTATCCATTGATTATAGCTATTATTTTCGAAATTATACAAGATAATAGTCCAGCAATCATTAAAATCTCCGAGTTATATAATGGACCGTATGCTTAATCCAGCTTGACTGGCTGGTATGTAATCAGGAAGTAATGAAAAGATGAGTTTGGTATCTGGAACCCTGTTTCAGAGTTGTAGTTTTTATTTTTCGCGTAAAACCCGTGGAAAAATAAAGCATCGTGTATTTCAATCATCGCGTCAGTTGTTAAGCGCGAAGAAAAAACGTTTACAAAACCATTTCTGCTTTCTATCGCGGTCGTGCACGGATTACTTTCCATCGAGGATTAGTTCGAGCGTCGAGCGTTTGACGGTCGATTCATAAATTGTGAAGGAAGATGCTGCACGAACATTCGAGTCAATAACCGCCGCCGCGAAACGAAACTTTTCATCGCCGCTAATTCAGCTTAAACCCTGAACGTTCTCTTTTTTATTGAGATCGATCAGAAATATTAATAAGCGATAAAAATATGATATTTTATATTTCAATCGTTTGATTCGTTATTGGCAGCATTTCATATTAGGTAGATTTCCAAATTTCAGGATAGCTGACGTTTATCTTTCTTCTCATTTCCACTTGCTCTACTTTCTATAAATTTGGGCGAAAATTGATTAGGAGATATGACGTCCATTACGTAGATTTAGGAATGCGCAAACTTGGAAGCAAATTTGTTCGTGGGAATTTCCAGATTTGATTTTGTAAGTCTTTGCAGCTTAACCATAAGAGTGCAAGCTACCACGCGAAAGTAATACGAACGAATTAACGTGGTATCTAGCGACTAATCGGAAAATTGGTAAAATAAAATTCCATAGAAACTCCTCGAGGGCGTTCATCGTTAATTAGAAAAGGTTGTCGATGCTCGAGTGCTCGCAAGAGCCCCGCTCGTTAATTCCGGGACAAAAGGACAATTCCTAAATGCCATTAAAAGGGTAACGTGTTTTTCCCTTGATGCCATTGTACGGAGGATCAACGATAATGCCTCGCGTTCCTTCCAAACGACATTTACGTAGCGGTGCTCCGACGAACTTGAAACAATCTATCTCGGTGAATCGGACAATTTTGTTGAGCTCCTGGGTCGGACGAACGTTTTAACGAAATGAGCTCCTTTCTCTCTTGGGCAGGCGCGGGGACCATCGCATAAATTGCCAAATTTTATCAACTTCCGTCTACCCCTTTCGCGAACGAAATCTTTGCTCCTCGACAACAGTCGCACTCGTTGTTTCATTTAAACACAAAATTTGATAGGGTTTCGTCCTTGATCTTCGAATTTTTTTCGTACGACGAAACATTAAGGACTCCTTGTTTCGCAAAATAAAAGCATTAGCCCCTTGAATTCTAGGAGAGTTTAAAATAGGATCTCCTTGAAAAGTCTCATCGAGGTGTCCTTTAGCGGATCTAGAACGAATCGCCATTACTTCCGTGGACGTTTTTCGCGCATAGACGTCGTCATAAAAACGACGGATCTCTTCTTTATAGCACGGAGTCGAGTTCGTTCGTAGATCGACATTTATAGCGTTGGAACCGATGAATCCCGTGGGTGTCGATTCGCGCCAAGTTCGTTGAAATCGCCGAGACTGCGCGACTTGTTTATCGCGCAGCTATTCTGTAATTATTGAGTTAGCATTGGCACGCCACCGAATCGAGCGTAGCTAAAAATCCATCTTTGATCCTTTGAACGGATGAGATCAAAGCCGGTTTGCGCGGAACAAAGGAAATTCTGTCTATCGGCATTGTTGCCTAATGCGTCACGACGTTATTTCGCGGGTATTGCATAGATCGCTAGGAATTCCCGAGCCAATTCGATGCTCTTAGTATTTGTTTGCGCACTGCTCGCGAGGATTGAAACGATTCAACGAGCCTTTGACGATGGGAACAACGCGTCTGTTCCTGCTTAAACAGCTTAAGCGCTGCGAAGTTAGGCATTTCCTTAAGATCTTAGGTAATTCCTTAATTTTTATTTATCCAAAGCCACCGTTTAGGAGTATCCATCCATTCATTGTTCGAACAGCGAGTTGGGTTTCCTTCGAAAGATATAAGACACCGGGCGGTATCGCGTTGTCACTTCGCCTATTAGTTCGTCTATACTCTCTCGGTGGGTATGATCGACGTTAAATCGCGATGGCAGGTGAAAGTAAAGGCGACGTTCTTTCGGAAACTGTTGCCTCGAATCGACCTGATTCTTCGCGGCCCAAAATCGCGGACTAATCTCGAGGAAATTCGGGTCGGCGCGTAATGAGGTTTCACCTCGGATTCCCAGTCGGCATTCCAAGGCATTCCGCCAGGAACGTTGCCTTTCCGAAGTGTAAATTACCTAGACAGACGTCATCGTGTTAAGCAATTAATACTGCTATCCGTTCGTCATTCGCGTTTGTTTCGGATGAACGGTGCATCGGATATGGGCAAAATTTTATTTTGTGTAATCGATCGCGATGGAAAGATACGTATACCAATTTTCTTTGCATCGTTTGTTCGATATATATTTAAATAAAAGCCGTGACTCACTGGCTCATCAACGTTCAGGCTCAACCCTTGAACTTAGAGAGCTGAAATTTTGCACAGAGACTTCCTTTTTTATGGTGTATACAAGGAATAAGATAGGATGTTTCGAAATTCAACTCCTGAAGGGGTATAAAGGGGTTGCAACGATTGCACGAGGAATATTTTATTTGTGGTCGGATCTACTTGTGTCCTTAGTGCTCTTTGATATAATTAATCAAACACCTATTTCGGCATTTTAAAAAATTCAACCCTTGGGGGGGGGGTGAAAAGGGGTTGCGATGTTTGTACGGGACATAGTCTGTTTGTTATTTTGCTTCAAAGTTGCTTTATTTCCGTAAATGTATCTAGAAACTTTAAATTTAACTATATTTCCGTTTCTCTTTTCAATTTTGAATAAGGGGTTACACCACTATAGAGGCTGAATAAAAGGCCCAACTTTGACAATTAATTTTGAGAGTATCGCAAAAGGAATAGGATTTCTTTTTACAGGGTTTATTTAACACATATTGAAGCATAAACAAATATTTGTTGTATCATAATTTTAGTACAAAATGTCGACAACAAAGCGAGTCTTCGAAAATGACTTTTTTTAAAACGCCAAAATTCTTCTTTTTCCACTGGGAAGACTCACCAGAGAGTCGATAACGTTTCAAACAACACTACAAGCTTTAGTTCATTTTTTATTCGTCGTTTGAAACATTTATTTAGTTCTGTCTTCGTCGAATCTTCTTTGACGTTCGATTGTAAGTCGATGGAAAAGCGCGTTCTTGGGGGACGAATCGTTTCTCTCGACTTTACGACGATACAGGGGTAACCGTTTATAGCGATGGGGCTAATATCGTATCGATGCTATTGATATCGGACAATAAGGGCAACATTTTATACCAAATCGTATCGATGCTCAGACGAAACCATTGGTACATACACGTATCAGTTATATACGGCACGTATTTGGGATCAATTTTCGATAGCGATACACTTGAACGAGTATCGGCTGATATCAATACCCTACGAACCGAGCGGCATCGGTAGCAAATGTATCAGAAATGGGAAACAGTCGTACCGGTAGCAAATAAGTAGTTGCAAGGTTGTACTACTTCAAATAACCGAATAGGTGGTTAGAATATTATTATTCGTGTTAAATGTAAATGAAATATCTTTCTTCAAAAGATTTTCTTGCTCGAATAAATTCTCCAAAATTCTAGATATTCTAGGTTCAAGGGTTTATTCTGGACGTTGATTGTAATCAGTCAGGGCCTCATTCTTATATATAGATTTCTGTAAAATCAAAAACTCTACTTCGAAAAGAAACATCTACGTACATTCATGGCTCAATGTATTATTATTTCAACTAATAATTAGCTGTATTCTGATATAAGTAAAATTGAAATTGTACGTTCAAAAAAATTCCTTTTAAATTACATGTATCGCTCTAGAGACGTCACTCGAGCTCAAGGGGTTGAAAGGTTCTCCGTACGATCCACTTTCACAGTAGCGTATTCAGTCTCGATACGACGAAGATTATCATAAACGACGTACGACGCTGTACGCTCGCTGGCAACAGTTAACGATCCCCGAAACATCTCCTTTCACGGTGACACGTACAAGAATTGCATCTGTCGTATCGATACCGTTCGCCACTTGCCATTACGTACGTTGCCTACCGAATCACCCGAATGTCATCAGTATCCATCGTATCGCATCCGTCGCTAACCATTGAAAACATCGAATTTGATAATGCCAGCTGCCAGGATCGCACAGTCGTTTCCTTCTTCGAATT